GACTGCGCTACCGCCACTCGCTCTGGTGGAGTTCCAGAGTCGACGGTGAGCATGTTCGGGGATCGATATATCGTGTCTTAACGAGACGCGATATATCGATCCCGGATAAATCGATTGCTACCCGCCGATATGGCGGGTAGTGAAGACATACCCTAAGGATTTCTGTAATGCCCATCACTGTAGTCTCTAATATTTGGATTAAAGCTTGGCTGAATTGATAGATAGATAAGCTACCTATATGATGATCCTCTGGTGGCACAGAGACAGCATAGCAGCTCCTTACCAGTTATTGGTATGGGACATGGCCTGGGCTTTGCTGGCTACTTTATTGACCGTGTGGGGCCATTGGCAGCTGGTGCAATTTACAGCAGTTTGGGGACTGTTCTAACTTACACTGGGGAACTTGACTGGTGCACAGCCAGTCCAGGACTGGCAGAGCATAAAAGTATTTAACCCACCATCCCCCATGCACATATCCAGTCCTGTCTGCTCCGCAGCTGCAACTGAAGATCAGGGCCATCATACTTATCCTGGTGTGTTCATTAGTACCTGCTTTTGTGGGATGGCTGGGAGAAAAAGGTGTGTAATAATCTTGGCTACCACATAAACACAATATTAATGAGACATGCTAAAGCTTTGCCGAAATGGATGAACGTGCTATGCATCCAATTTAGATGTGCTTGAGGGAAAGCAAAGTCTGACTGGTAAATAAATTAAAATAATTTCTCTATTAGATTATGCCACAGTGATTAATTCTCCATCTGATAGACTCACCATTTAGTTGTAAGACCAATATTATATGGTAGCAATAAGATCTAATGGTTTGTGTGGCTGGAAAAGATCCAACTCTGAACTTTACTTTTTGCAAAAGTATTATTACAACAATGACATTTATCTCTTTCTCTAATTGTATTATTATTTTACATCTAAAATAAAAGTACAACGTGCTGCAGTTTGAAGGTTATATTCTGTATATACTATTAATGATTTTCTGTGCCATGCTGCCCTGGTTTATGTTCATAGTTGCCATTAATGTATGGTATACTTTAAGGCATAGTTCCCAATAAACTGTAGGTCTCCTTCCTTATTTAGCCAGTTTAGTTTTCGGAAAAAATCTTAACACAAATAAATTATTTTTAGCACACACAGATGCTGAGTTTAGGCAAGGATTAAACAGATTATGGAAAAAAAGGTGGCATGGGTTTTTGTTTCGTGCTATTACAATATAAAAATCCTTTCCCTTTCCATAGAGCTTTTAGCTAAGGATACAAAAGCATTTTACAAACATTAACTAATGAATCCTCCAAAGTTAGTCAGTTATTATTCTAGTGTATAAATAAGTTAATAGAGGCAATGAGAAGGTAAGGTCCAAAGTTCTGCAGTGAACTAGTAACAGAACTTGGAATAAAACCTCAGTCTCCATCCTTAGTACCCTACTCACATCCTCTTCTATATATTTCAGTTTAGGCAAATGTAGGACAATGCTTAAAACATTTTAATTAAACAATGGTGTTCTGCTTGCAGAGGCTCAGCTAGAGCAAGGACTATGGCATATTTTGGGGAAGGGAAAGGACCAATCCACGTGGATAATGTGAAATGTACAGGAAATGAGAGATCCCTGGCAGACTGCATAAAACAGGATATTGGAACACACAACTGCCGTCACAGTGAAGATGCTGGTGTGATCTGCGACTACCTTGGCAAGAAGGCCTCCGGGAACAGTAATAAAAGTGAAATACCTTTGTGAGGTTTATGGCAATAGATTCAAAATTAGGTATATGATGATGATTGCTAGAAAAAGAAAAGGAAGGAAGTGAAAAATCTGATCTCACAGGAGAAAAATGTACATATTTATAAACAAAAATCTATACCTTAAAATCTGTGGGTCAGGTGCTTGCTCTTTATGTCATTCTGGCAGTGCAAAGGAACCACAAAGCCAATTTAAATGGCACAGGGGAATCCTCTAGCTTAACCACATGGGGACCGCTGCAGTTAGGTGCAGCCAGGGCTTTAAGTTATGCTAGGTGTTAAACCAGATCCAGGGAGGCATAAAGGTGAGTGAACAACCACCTTTATCCCCTCCCACCACCTGTGCCAAGCATAGATTGGCTGCAGCTGAGGACTGAGCTTTATAGAGAGCCAAATTCTTCTCTCACACCCGTGTAAATTAGGAATTACTTTGTTGTATACAGTGTGACTGTAGCCATGTCAGTACCAGGGTACTAGAGAGACAAGTGGGTGAGGTAATATTGTGTATTGTACCTATTTCTGTTGGTGAGCGAGACAGGCTTTTGAGCTTACAGTTTCTTTAGTCAGTAAGGACAAGATTCTGCAAGGTGCTGAGTGTCATCCCCATCCAGTGAGACCTGGAGAGCTCTGTATAAGCACAAAAACTTCTCTCACCAAGAGAAGTTGGTCTAATAAAAGAGATTACCTCACCCACCCTGTCTCTCAAATTACTTTGTAGAAGTCAAAGGAGTGACTCTAGATTTACACTGATGTAACTCAGAGCAGAATATTGGTCTTATAGTTAAATCACTTCAGGTATGATAAATAAGGAAAGATTTCCAGCTCTTTGTGTGTATTATTCATATTATAACCTTCATATTTATGAAAAGATTCTTTTTTAGTGGATCACATGTAGAAGGGTAACTCGTTCTTACACTGTGAACTGAAAAAGACTGCAGATAATGGTTTGAACACCTGTTTAGCTTTCTATTAGGGCATGGGGGATAGTGCTCATTGCCTAGTGATCACAATTCAGAAAATATTCTCAGAACCTTTAAAAGGTGTGGGTCAAAAATATTTGTGTGGGAGTCCTGTGTATGGAGAGTGAACAGTGTGGGAGTCAAAATCCACCATGAAGATACCAGAATGAAATTTTGATTATTGTTTTTTTAATTGGATTTCACTGACAAACTTTGAGAATAATATAAGGTTTAATTGGATTTCACTGACAAACTTTGAGAATAATATAAGGTTTGAGCCTACAAGGCAGGTCCTGAGCACACAACTCCCCCTGAGTTCATTGGATGGTGATGGTACTCAACACAGAATCATGTCCTTACTGACTAAAGAAACAAAATAAAATACACTTTTTTTTTAATCTACCAAACCCTGTATATTGTTCCTGTGTGGGAGTTTAAGGCCTAAACCTTATTTTCTGTTTAGATTCCCTTGCTTCTGTTTGTGGATTGAGGTTACTGCATCGTCGACAGAAGCGGATAATTGGTGGGAAAAATTCTTTAAGGTAAATGATATTCAGTACAGTGAAAGTCATTTTCAATGTAAAATTGTGGGATGTGCAGTTGCCATAAGCCCTCAGCCTTGTTTAGCTACTGATTAAATTTTTTGCTTCTCATGAAATAAATGCAGATTAACAATGTGAATTTTGCTATGTTGGGCTTAGTTTGGCACAAAGAACACAATTTTGTTCAACAAGTATAGTTTTTTCCAGGCCAGTTAGAACTGGATGAATTATTCACCCATTAATTCAGAGTGAGTGAAGCTTTGTGCAGCCCCATCCAAAGGCTGATGTTCCAGCCTACATCTCTTCCTCTGTCTCCTCATCTTCAGTCTCTGTGGGACATCATGGTGCATCATGACCTTTCTCTGGCTACTTCTACACTACATGCCACTGGCAATACGTGTAGCTGTACAGCCACACTGTGGTATGTAGCAAATGAACCTTTCCCCGCTGCCTCCCCTCTGTCAGAGTCTTTCCCGGCTGGCAGAATCTTCCCTGCAATGGGTAAAGAGCTCCAGCAGTGGGGAACAGACGGACTGTTTCTCTGTGGCAGGGAAGAGCTCCAGCAGAGGAAACTGCCGGAGCCTCTCTTTCCTGCGGGAGCCTTTCCCAGTAGCTGCAGTCTTTTCTTGCGGTGGCGAAAGGCTCCAGTAGTGGGGAAGCAGTGTAGACGGGGAAGCACAGTTTGGGCAAGCAGAGAGCTACGGAGGGTATGTACCCAAGTCCATACCCACATCCTTCATGTGTGTCTTTCCTCTACTTGCTTAAGCCATGCCTCACCATCTACACTGCTATTCATACCTGTGCTAGCATAGTATGCACAATACATGTTTCCAAAAGAAGGATGCAGTGTAGAGGCAACCTGTAACACACAGTAATTATGCAGACATTCCCATGAAGCCACTCTGCCTACGGTCCTTCCTGTACAGCCCTCATGTGGGGCATAGAGGATGTTTTTTTATTTCTAGTGTCTTGTGAGCCATTTGATGTGCATATGCGATATTCAAAATTTGAGTAATTGGTTGGACACACAAATCACATTTCATGTTTCAATATCTTGATCGACTGTGCGGAACTCTTACAGACAGATTTCCAGTGGGCAATCTTAGGATTCTGAATTCAGAATTTGCTTTATGTGAATACTTTGTAATATGCACTTACATTTTGTTGTTTGAGTTAACATTCCTGCTGGTGAATTTGTTCACTAGAATATTCCCAGAAAGCACACAGAAAGGGAGCAGGAACACATTCAAAGCAACTCTGAGGACCAGATCAAAAAATAACTCAGTGGTCAGATATTGCATTTCACTTTGGGTACATTGGAATTTTATTCTTTAATCAGCTTAAATTACTTTCCTTAGAAAAACAGCCATTTCAGTTTCTCCTGAGAAGCAAATCCAGAACAATAGCTGTGAACCATATCGATGGATCTGTGGGTCTGCTATGCATTTAAAAGAACTGTAAAAGGCTAAATAGCATGAAAGGAGGTTGGGTATTATTAATGCATTAAAAACATCATTTTTCTAAAGTAAAATATACTTTGTTGATGATGATATAGCTGTGAAATAAGACTTTTCATTAACTGGTAGTTGGTTCGTGGCCATATTGGTATATAACATGCTCCCCTATGTTCACCCACCCACACTTGTATAACTGCAAGTACAGATAGACTTGTTTTCTTAATATTTGTGAATTATGACAACCACAAAGACTATTCATAATATCTTATGGATACAGGAATAAGGAACAAGGTATAAGGAATGTGATGGTGAATGATACAAAGAATATTATAAAGCCTTTATATAAAAATATGGTTTGTCCTATTTAGAATACCGTGCACAGTATTGGTCACCCCAACTCCAAAAGGCTATTGCAGATCAGGAGAGGGTTTCAGAGAAGAGTGACAAAAATGATCCAGGGAAAAACTGACATATGCAGAGAGATTGAAAAGACTGGTATTGTTTACCTTAGAAAGGAGACAAAGAAGAGGGGATAAACATAAAAAATAATGAATAGTATAGAGAAAGTAGATCAGGAACTTCTGTTCTCCCAGTATCATACCACAAGAACAAGGAGACAGAGTATGAAATTTAAAAGGTGGGAAATTCAAAACCAATAAAAGGGAAATACTTTTTCACACAATGCGTTATTAGACTGTGGCACTTGGTGCCACAGGAAATCATTGAGGCAAAATATTTAACCAGATTCAAAAAGGGATTGGATATTATATGGATGTCAAGAATATCCAGAATTATCATAATTAAGGCTGCGAGTCTTTCACAGAGGTCACGGAAGCCACGGATTCTGTGACTTTCCAGAACTTCGGTGACTGCTGCAGCAGCTGGTGCGGCTGACCCGGAGGCCCCAGGCAACTGGTCCTGGGCGCTGCCCCGGAGCAGCGGTCCGGAAGCAGCAGCGACACCCCAGGCTGCCCCTGTCTGGAGGAGCAGCGGTGGTGGTGGGGCCACGGGCCACCCCTGGTCTGAAGCAGCGGCAGTGGTGGTGGGGCCATGGGCTGCCCCCCAGCCCAGAGGAGCAGTGGTGGGGCCACGGGTTGTCCCCTAGCCCAGAAGAGCAGCAGCAGTGGTGGGGCCCCAGGCTGCCCCCCGGCCCAGAGGTGGAGCCCAAGGCCACCCCCAGGAGTGGCCGTGGGGGGGCCCCAGGCCACCCTCCAGCCCAGAGTGGCGGCGGCAGGGTCCCCGGCCGCTCCCGCCTCTGGAGCGGCAGCAGGGCCCTGGGCTGTCCCCCACACACAGGAGCAGCAGCGTCCCCCCCTCAGCAGGTGAGATTTAGTTAGGAGTATTTTTAGTAAAAGTCATGGACAGGACTTTTTGGTTGTTGCCCGTGACCTGTCCATGACTTTTACTAAAAATACCCGTAACTAACTCGTAGCCTTAATCATAACTAATAAAAATTTTTGAAAGGGATATCAAACCTCATGCTTCAGGTCTTAAAGTCAATTTTTAACTATTAGAGACCAGGATGAGACCTATGTGAAGGGCAGATTACCCTACTTCCCCTGAAGCATCTGGTACTTGCTAGTGTCAGACACTGGACTAGATGAAACACTGCTCTGATCCTGTTTGTCAATTCCTGTGTTCTAGTATTCCTATTCAAATGGATATTTGTTAAAATTAAACTAGCTGCTACTTATATTCTGGCTGCTGTTCTCTCTCTTCCCTTCTTGCTAGTTCTATCTGTCTATAGGAAGATGTAAGAACTGAATCTTAGAATCATAGAATATCAGGGTTGGAAGGGACCTCAGGAGGTCATCTAGC